GGGCCTTTTTGTTATTACCTAGCAAATATGATTTTCTAAACGCTTGAGCTACCGAGCCTTGAAAACAAAATGCCGGTTGATATTTGAGCTTCTGCAGCTCGCCTCTGCCAGCTGGGCTTGTTCTGGATGCAACATGAGAAACAGAAAACTTTGGGTAGCTCCACTTTTTAAAAATGACCATTTTAGACGCACTTTACAAACGTTCAGCTTTGTCATTTAAGGAATAATAACAGCTAGAGGACTCTGTAACCATAAAGTTTCTGCAAAGAAAAATAAAATTTGGTATTTCTTCTACACAGTCATAACATTTCTGTGCAACATTTGGTGTTCATTACATTTATTTGGCCTTTTAAAAGGAAACAAGGACAAAATGGCTGCAAATAAAACCAACTTCTCTTTCACAATAGATACTTCAGATGCCGAAGCTGCTACATGTGCTTGGAATATCATGCAGGAGTTTACTTATTCATTTAAATAGGATACATATTTATAGCTGAGCTCGTCTCGCATTGGACTAGGATGAGGGAAACCTGGAAGAACTCAGCTGAAAACATCGCTGAGTACAGTGACGATGAGCAGACAACCACCAAAGATATTTTGGCCCAAGCAGTGTGTATGTAAATGTATATACACACAGAGACATATACATCCCCCACCCCCCAACTCTCAGTGACTGACCTACAACTCGTTGCAGGGACTGAACCACGGAGCATCGTGCAACCAGGCTACACGTCTACACAAAATTACCGAGAACCGTCGAATGACCACTGAAAATGAACACTGACCCTTGCGACGCGCCTCCGGGAAGGAAGCCCCCTCAGGAACAAACTGTGACTTTCTCCACTTTTATTTGTAAATGTGACCTTGACCCCTGTGGCCACAAGACCCCACTGGTATCCATGAAAATCCTGCCTTTACTGGTGGACATTGCAGGAAGGCCAAGCTCACCACAAACCAAGGGTGGCTGGATCCATTTCTAACGGTGGAACTGAGGTTTCAATGAGGTACCTGTCAATAACCACTGTTGTTGCCACTGTCATTCCACGTGCTGGGGGGGACTCGGATCAGATGGGAGAGGAATGAGAAAGGCTCAGCCCTCGCTTCCATGCCTCCATGGAAAATCTCACGCAAGCCTGTTTCATCATGGGGTCTGCATGCCAGCGTTGGCACTGGCAAGAAAACCGGGAGCCTAAATTTGCAGCTTCCTCCTTTTCAGCCTGCCGTGCCGGGAATATTTCATATCCTAGAAAAGGGCTCCAAGTGAAGGGGGAAAAGGACATTGTGTGTCTCAAGGAGCACTAACCTCCATTGGATTTACTGGCTTCCTCCCTTCCCCACATCTTTCTGTAACTGCTTACTGCCAGCCCTAGTGAACAACCAGATTCATGTTACTAAAAGGCTACTTAGGTAATAAATCTCAATGAAAGTCATCTAACCAGCAGGAAGAGAAACATTCCTAAGAAATTATTGCTTCTGCAGTCTGAAATTGCCATCCACAAACAGCGCAGAGCCGACTGGACTCTTGAAATAACCCAACAGTGCAAAATCCACGCTACACCTTTCTGAGCAGTTAAAGTTTGAGCTTTATGTGGAATATTTCTAGATGTGCAGCTTACCGACTACAGCACTCGAGAACCTGAGCACTACAGTGTCTTGTGTCCGAGGTGTCACCAGAAGCACTGCAGCAGAATATGTCAAATTGTTTACAGTATAGAGCAACACAGAAAGTACTACACCTCAAGCCTTCCACAGTAAAGGTCCAAAGAGATGGAGCACGCAGGATGAATTTGACTATGCAACACCACCGACAAACAAAGCCTGATGCTTATTGTCACCAGGAATAAAATAACACCCCTTCAAATCTCTCTTCCCACAACTTATGCAATAAACACATAAAATTGTAGTACTTTACCTTTTAATTGTGACAAAAAAAAAAATCATTTCTATTATCAAAAGATAATGTAAGGGACACAATAAAGAAATAAATTAGTGCCCACTCTACCCTGAGAAGTGCAAGGGCTAGAAAGAAAAGTCAAATTCAGGAAAAAGCATTACTGTGGAAGATCTCGGGAGCCCTCACCGGCAGCACAGTGGAAGTCAGCACAGTGGTTTCACAGGCTGGCCAAGGTACAGGAGGAGATACTTTGGCTGGGGATCCCCCAAGTTAATTCTTCTGGCAATACTACAAACACTCCAGCTCGTTTACAATGAATAATTATTTCCTTTGGCTTTACCAGGGAGTGAAATAGAGCTTCCTGCTACAAGGCAGCGTGCATATTCATGCGTCAGGAACGGCAATTAAACAGCCCCATAAACAACTCCAAATACGGAATTTAACATCCAATTCTTAGAAATGAGGCTACGCCAAACGCTTGCTGGGACAAAATTGGACCTGCCCTGCCTTTGACTGAAAACCTCTGGGTTCGAAACATCCTTCCTCCCTCCTCATCCTTCCCCTGACTGAGAAAGCTAAATAAATGTGCGTGAGCTCACCCCCAAAACAGTTTCACATTCCCTCTGCTGGGTGTGAAGCAAGAGGGAGCTTCAACTTCTCCTCCCTCTTTGCAGCTACACCTTGGTCAGCCCGATGGTCCTGTGGAAGAAATCTTGGCTTACCAAGGTGCTACGTGGAGTAATGGTAATTTGAAACCACGCTGATCCGTGAAACTCATGGGGAAAAGGGTAATTACGTCTGGCACCGTCCAGAAGATGTAGATTTTTAAACTGTAGAAGAACCTTTCCAGAAATAGAGATTAAAATAAGGAGTACTTGACAGCGTTCGATTAACCAAAAGCAGAATCTTCAAAGAGCTTTAAAAATAAAATATTACAGCCACTTTAAAATGTCTAACTCAACGTGTATTGTACACGAATGCCAGTTATAGGGTGAAATACAACACTCATCTCCGTTATATTTGAACATCACCAGAATATATTAAATGTAATTGAGATGATAAAATTCACGGCAGAAGTTCAGTTAAAGTATTTCTCACAACTGATTTCTTCAATAAGGTCTCATATTCTTCAGTAGTATTATTCCCCTGTCTGAACACAGTTCACAGTATGTGTTCTGAATTAAAAGAAAAATTCACCTTAAAGAAAAAAAGACTTTCTCAAGACACTTGGAAAAAAACCCAAACACATAAGTCCTGTACGATTACATGTACTTTAGTGCTCGGCGATTTCACCAGCCTAAAAACAGCATTGTCACCCTTGGGCATCGGCACCGACTGAACACCTCCAGCTAGGAAACCCACGTATGCCACCAGGAATTCGTCAATGATGCTGGCCAAGACTGCGCGTTCAACTTCAAATATACAAAAACATACATTTCTTAAATATATTGACAATTCAAGTAATTTATTAAAAACTGCTTTTCATTTTGAAATATATATTCTTCTTTCGGATGACTATATTGCAGCATGATTCACACATGCATTTTAAAGTACTGTAGTATGAGAAGTTTGAGGCAGCGGAAATCTTACAACGGGCTGTGATTTGTCTGCTGAGCACACGGATTGACTGCAGCCCGGAGGTCCATGCGAAAACGAGTAAATAGCATCACAAACACTTCTTATAAGACGACAAACGAAAGTTCGGTTTCTAAAGTTGCTTTAAATGGCTGCTGGATCTCTGAGCTTTGGCTGCCCGTGCATTTGGGCGCATTGCTAGCGATCCAAACGCTATTTGAAATCAGATTAGCATAACTCTTTCAAGCTCTTCACAGAAAAATGTCTTTGCACTGCAGCTATGTCCTGAATCAGGGAAGGGGCATGGAGGTTGCGCTGATGACA